ACCCAGGCATCATGACCTGAGCCGAAGGCAGAGGCTTTAACCCACTGAGCCACTCAGTCGCCCCTGTAAATGGTATTATTTTCTTAATCTCAATTTCTAGTTGTTTTGTTGCTAGTATATAGAAATATTATTTTTGTATATTGATCTTCTTTTCTGCATCCTTACTAAATTCACTTATTTCTAGTGAGTCTTTTTTTAAATAGATTTAATAGATTTATGTACATATATGATGTCATATGCAAATAAAGACTTTTAATTTTTTCCTTTCCAATCTGGGTATCTTTTATTTCTTTTGTCTTTCTTTATTGCAGTAGCTAGAACCTCCAGTTTATTGAATAGAAGTGCTGAGAGCAGTCGTCCTTGCCAAGTTCCTAATCTTAGGAGGAAAGCATTTGGCTTTCAGCATTAGGTATGATGTTAACTGTGGGTTTTTAGTAAATACCCTTTATCAGATTGAAGAAATTAGCTTCTTAGTTTTCTGAGAGCTTTTATCTTGAACGTGTGCTAAATTTTGTCACATACTCATACATCTATTGAAGTGGTCATGTGGTTCTTTTTTAGTTGGTTAATATGATGAATTACATTAATTTTCAAATGTTAAGCCAACCTTCTATTCCTTGGATAATATCCACTCGATCATGATGTATTTCCTTTTTGCATACTCTTGTATTATATTTGCTAAAATTGTTAAGAATGTTTGCATCTATGTTTGAGAGGAATTAATCTGAATTTCTTTTTTTTTTATGTATTTGTCTGGTTTTCTTATCTGAGTAATGCTGACTACATAGAATAAGTTGTAAAGAATTCCCAACTTCAGGGTACCTGGGTGGCTCAGTGGGTTAAAGCCTCTGCCTTTGGCTCAGGTTGTGATCCCAGGGTCCTGGGATTGAATCCTGCATCGGTCTCAGGGAGCCTGCTTCCCCCTCGCTCTCTACCTACTTGAGATCTCTGTCAAATAAATAAATAAAATCTTGTTAATAAATAAATAAAAAGAATTCCCAAACTTCAGTTTTCTGGAAAAGGTTATATAGAGTGAGTAATCTTTAATCCTTTGGTAAAGTTCACAGTGCAGCCATCTGGACCTGGAATTTTCTTCGTAGGAAAGTTTTTAAGTACAAATTAATTTCTTAAATTGATATATGGGATAATAGTTATACAATATAGGGCTAATCAAGTTATCTATTAATTGAATGAGCTTCAGTTTTTGTATTTCAAGAAAATTTATCCATTTCAGACTAAGTTGTAAAATTCATTGGCATAAAGTTGTTTATAACATTCCCTTATTATCCATCTAGTATCTGTAGAATATATAGCGATGTCATCACTCTTATTCCTAACATTGATGATTTGTGTGTTCTCTCTTTCTATCCTTTGCTGATTAGCCTGGCTGTATCAATTTTACTGGACTTCTTAAAATACCTGTGTTTTATTTATTTTCTCTGTTGCATTTCTGTTTTCTATTTCTGCTCTGGTGTTTACTATTTCCTTTTTCCTATTTTAGTTTTCATTTGCCTTTCTTTATCTGGTTCCTGAAGGTGAAAACTGAGGTCACTTATTTGTGATCTTTCTTTTCTGATATAGGCATTTGGTGCCTAAATTTTCCTCTAAGTGCTGTTTTAGCCAAATCCCACAAATATTGTTATGTTTTCTTTTCATTCAGTTGAAAGTACTTTGATTCCATTATTTTTTTTCTTTGACCCATGGATTATTTAGATACGTATTATAGAACTTTGAAATTTTTGGAGATTTCCCAGATATCTGTTATTGATTTCTAATTTAATTCCATTGTGGTCAGAGGACATCATGATCTGAATCATCTTAAAAGTATTGAGACTTGTTTTGTGATGTAGAGTATGGTCAACCTAATAAACCTTGCCTGTGCATTAAAAAAAAAAAAAAAAGAATGGTATCCTACTATTATTGGGTTGAGTGTTCTATAAATGTCAATTACATAAAATCGGTTAATAGTTGTTCAAGTCTTCTAAAGCCTCACTGACTTTGTGCCTACATAACACTTCAATCAAGGGAGGCCCCTGGGTCATTAACTCTGACCCAAGCCTGCAGCTTCTGAGAAGTATATGGGGCATGAAGCAAGAACTATCAATGTAGGCCCAAGGATTCTATCAGTTTCTAAGTATATCTATCCCAATTATGTATACTTACTTCAGAAATAGAGTGGGGTCAGACCCATTATACCCACTGGGATGGACTTTAGTCGGGACCCCATTTATCACTGGACTTGCATAAAACCAGAGGAGCACAATTGTGTTTTGGTCCTTTGGGATCCATATAGCTCAGACCCTATATTCAAAAGTCCTTGGTTGAAAGATAGGAGTATTCTTCTTTCTCCACTGCATAGTTACCCTGCTAAATGGCTGCCCCTTTGGGGAAGGATCAAGGTGATGTTTATCATATATACTTGAGGACTCTCCCTCAAGGGAATCTGGGCTTTCCCTTCCATTAGTGCCTAAGATTGAAAACTAGCTGCTAGTAGTTATACAAGTGGATATACAAGTCAGGTAACATCCTAATCAGCTGTCCTTCTATTTTGCCCCTTGGAACATCATGATCTTAAACTCCACAGATCCATGTCTTAGTACCCATTAATTCCATCCATTGGGCATCTGACAGGTTCCACAATCTGGCCTTCAACCTTTCTGCATCCCATCATCTACGCTGACATCAAGGAGCCCAGTATTATAGCAGTTATCTTCTACCACCAATTCTACCCTTTAGAGGTCAGCCATAACCACGCTTCTCACCAGTACATTTTTTATGGCCTTAGTTATGAGTGTCATCTGAGCCTTCCCAGGGAAAACACTCAAGTGGTAGCTTCTCAAGCTTCAAACAACAAATCCATTCTAACACTGCAACATTCCTGAGCTTTATGACCCCTTCTTCAATACCATGCCAAATACATTCTAGCATTTCCACTGTATCTTCTAGATGCCGTCCTAGCAAGTATGTTAGAACCAACTCCAGATATCTAAAGCATTAAAACCCAAGTCAGGAGTTTAAGTGCTACCATGTTACTCTCTCCTATCAGGCCTTATGTTCCATCCTCCTCCAACATCCTCAAGACCTACTCCCAGGCATGTTTCCTGGGTTCCTGCCAAAACATTTTAACCAGAACCTGCAGTTCATTCAGATTGTAACCTATCCTCCTATAGAAAGGACTGTATTTCCCCACTTAGGGTAAGCTGAGACCTGATCCTAGTTACCAGTACGGGAGTTAAGAAGAGGTAGCAGGGATGAGTCTTAAGGAGGACAATTATCATCTTACAATACAAGTGCCCCAGATAAATTCTTTGCAGGATTTCCAAGCAAGTGAAGACTGCTATCAGCAAAGTGGAGGAGAGGAGGCCACTTCTGTGGCTCAGGGAATCAAGGAAACATGAGGGTTCAAGATTCTGAGGTTCACCAACACAAATGTTCCCTTTCTATGATTCAGCATTCCAGTCTTTTCCTGTCAGCATGCTGACTTTGTTGGAGGAGATAATCGAGGCTGTGACTTCAATTTCCTTTGCATCTTTGCCACCTTTTCTATTTGGGCTGGATTGTCAGTATAGACTGCCAGCATCTACAGATGAGATTTTTCCTTAAATGGAGGTATAGAGGCATTCTGGCTTTCACAGCATGCCTTGACTTAAATGGCTAACATGAGCCTATGTCATTTTCTATTTTCAAGGTTGGTAAAGCAGTTAACAATAACTAACCAACACCTTTATCTTTATTATTTCCATTAGTCCCATTCCACTGTAATGCCACAGCTACTGTATAACCTAATACTTCACCTTCCACCAGCACTCTACTCAAATCCAGTACAGTAACTGTGACCCATCCACATGACAGGAGTTATCACTATGCCATTTACCACTAGCTATGGGGTCTTTATTGTCATCTGTCCAGTGAATGATCCACTCATAGAATCCCATCCAGAGGGTTTGCTTTCTAAGGCCATTCCTGGTATCCCTCTTGGTTTGGGTTTACCCACCACCCAAAAGTGAAGCCCAAGACAAATACTCATATACAGGTATTTATTTGAGAAATAATCTGAGAGAACCAGAGAGATGGATGAGAAAGGGAGAAGTTAAAGAAAGCTAACATAAGAATGTATTACAGAGTTGGCCACTGCTAGAGGTGACTGGTACTTAATCCCACAGGATTTTCTGAGGAAAATGCCTTATGAAAGGCATCTCAGAATTCTCCCAGCTGATGGAAGAGAGAGCATTTATTCATAAGTCAAGGGTGGCCCCAAGGTCATTAACTCCTCCATATCTTTCACACATCTATGATGGCAGAGGGGCTCCAGTAGGCAATCCTAAGCCACACTGTCAGAGGATACCTGGGAAAAAAAAGCAAGGGAATAATGAAATGTTTTCAAGATGAAATGCCATCAAATGGCTTCCATGAGAAGCTGTCAGAAGCCTGCCTGGAAGTGTTTCAGAGGATTTGAGGTGGCACACAAGAAGTTCAATACAGTTACATAAAATGCATAATCAATAAAACTACTTAAAAATCAGTAGACTCCACTAGAAAATGATTATATAATTTTTAAATACACTTTTTTATTTAAAAACATAAATCAAGATTACAAAGTTTGAAAAATAAAAAATAGGGATTTTGACTTACTATTTTTAAATAGTGTTCCTTATACATTTATTCAAAACCCAAAATAACATACTTAATTTTTTAAATAACCTCAAAAAGTTAAATTATGACAGACTAAACACAGTTACTATATTTTCAGGTTTTGACTAATATGAAAACAACCTCATTTGTTAGGAGAGATAAAAAGTATATACAAAATAGTAAATCATGAATTTTGATAAAAGTAATATAATTTTCACTTGTTTAAATAAATTAAGGAAACAACCAAAATAACATTTTTACATAGTAAAAGAAGTAAATAATTTGAGAGAAAATAAACTGTATTGATGTATTTAAACAAACACAAACAAGACCTATTTGGATGATGGTTTTAATTTTCCCAGTAGTCTTCATGAAGGTTTTGTACTTGATGGCAAGGGTGCTTTTCCTTTCTGCTTAGCAACCTTTTCCATTTTTATCTGTAAAGTTAGAATATTTGTTGATAAAATAATCTGTAAAACATTCTAAAGAAAAAAGTTGTACACACTTTATTTGGATTCATGTCTCATTAATCACAGTCATTTCACAGTTATTTAGCAGTTATATAAGCTGCTAAATTCTAAAGCAAAATCTAATAGTAGATTGCATTTTTTTTAAAGATTTTATTTATTTATTTGACAGAGAGAGAGATCACAAGTAGGCAGAGAGAGAGAGAAGGGAACGGGCTGCCTGCTGAGCAGAGCCCGATGCAGGACTTGATCCCAGGACCCTGAGATCATGACCTGAGCCGAAGGCAGAGGCTTTAACCCACTGAGCCACCCAGGCACCCCCTCAATTGCATTTTTAAAATATGGTATGATTTCAACTTTACAGAAGCATTTTAATAAAAATAACATATAGTGAATATTGCTTTGGAGAAAATTAATAAATTAATTTTAACTGCCACTAAAAAAAATTGTTTTATAAAAGCTTAAATACATAACCTTACATCCTGTCTATGCACATTAACTCACTTAATGCAGCTGGATTATCCCTGGAACATAGGCTGCTTTAAGGATAGTTTCCTGAAATTCTGGTTTTCACATTTCCACAGTTACTTCCCTGAAGGTTACCCTCCAGTGTAACTGAAGCAAAGAAGCAGTTTACAGATCCTAAGTAGTGGCCTTCTGACCTTTAGAAACATTTAAATCCTTTCTATGGGAAAAAAGACCCCAGAGAACACAAAGCCCACTTGCCCCTTACAATTCCCTGAGGCAGCACCCATTGCCTTATCCTTGTAAGAGAAAGGGACAGAAAGTATGGGGCATGGTAGGTGGAGGGCCTCCTATCTTCTAAGGTGATAGGAATAATATCAAGAAACCAGAAGGAATCTAGTAACACCAGTCTATCCAATTTCATCAAATTGTAAATAGTAACTTCCCAGTAATAAAATTTATGTATTTCACCTCTCTCTCATCCCCATTTTTCCGCTCTCTCTCCTCTCTGAGTTGGTTGGGAACCTCATTCAAAAACCATACATGCATATCACTCTCGTACACTGTATTAGTCAACAAGTCATCTGAAGGATCCCCAAAGGAATACCCTATACTAAGGTAAAGATTATAGTCTTTGGGGTCACAGAGAAGAGCATCTGAATCTTTTTTTTTTTTTTTTAAAGATTTTATTTATTTGTCAGAGAGAGAGGGAGAGAGAGTGAGCACAGGCAGACAGAATGGCAGGCAGAGGCAGAGGGAGAAGCAGGCTCCCTGCCAAGCAAGGAGCCCGATGCAGGACTCGATCCCAGGATGCTGGGATCATGACCTGAGCCGAAGGCAGCTGCTTAACCAACTGAGCCACCCAGGCGTCCCTAGTTTTCTCATTTGTTAAAAAAAAAAAAAAAAAAAAAAAAGTCACAATAATAGGTACTTCTCAAGGTTGTTCTAAAAGTATAAATGAGATCATATGTATAAAATCCAGGTACTTAATAAGGAATCAACAAATGCTAGTCCCTTTTCCTCTCTCATTTAGGGCCAAGTGTTAGATTTATAGTAAGATCAAAGAGACAAGATGCTAAACAACCAAACAAAGCCAAAGCAGGGCTTCCTCACTTGAAATAATACTTAGCAAATACATCCATCTAATCTAGGGTCTGACGAGCAAAGATACCTCCTCCTCCTCCTTTGTTTCTTCTTCAGTTTCCTGGCACTCACAGCAATAGCACCTTGCACCTAGTTCATCTTTGACAAATGTTTCCTTAATAAAATTCTCCTAGGGTCATCCACAATGGAAGAAAATAACTTGGCCTAATATATAAAAGAAGAAATGAAGCAACTCTTCAATAATACCTAAAAGTAATTAGTAAACTGCATTACCACAAAGGCTTCAATTGTCAGAGCCAACTCACACTTAGGGTAAAGTCTTCTCCACACTAAATGTTACCACTGCACCACGATACAAGCAAAACCAGATACAGACATCATACTGCTTTCTAAAGGGTTTGTGACCCACCAGATTTAGCTTCCTAATCATCCCTTTTCCCTCAACAGTGTATATCTTGGTTTTTTGGAGTAAAATTCAAATACTAACAACATGTATAGTAGTACACGTCAGCTCAGAGGAAGTTGTTTAGGAAGTTGTTGAGCTTCTTAGTTTTTATATGCCATTAATCACACAGGCTGGGAAGTTTATAAGCTGTGCCTCGTAAATTCATAAATCACACAAGATGGAGAGTTATAAATGACATCTTGTAAATCCATAAATTCTCAGTCTATTTATAATAAGCAGTCTGGATTGGCCGCATATATCCTCTAAAACAATCACTCCCGCCATTGTCTTCCCACAAGCAAATACCACCGGCATGTTTTCAAGGCACTCAGCACAACCCAGGCTCCTGAAGGAGGGAAGGAAGGAGTTCTGGAACCCTCTCCCTCATAAGCCTCTGAAGGGAAAACTAAAATTCAGCTGTGAACTCATGTATTGCAGAAATGGAGAGTGATGTGATTAAAAGTCTAGCCTTAAAGATGTTGTAAAAAGAGCCTTCTTTTTCCTCGCTCTGGCCATTTCATCTCCCTCCCTGAGATCCTACTACTACTTCTTTCTCTTAGATGAGAGCTCTCCAGTAAGGTAGCCACTAGCCCCATGTGGTCTGCTGAGTATCTGAAATGTGGCTGCTGTGACTGAGGAAAATAATTTTAAGTTCTAGTTTATTTAAAATCAGACTTATCTAGCCACACATGATGAACAGCTGCAACACAGGGAAAGAACATTTTCATCACTGCAAAAAGTTCTATTTCTAGCTCTGCCTTAAATCATATCCAGGACTCTCCCCCTCTATTTCAAAATTCTTCATCAGAAAAACCAAGCTGCTCTCTCTGTCCTCTCCTCCCTTTCCTCTTAGGAGGTAAATTTATTTAATGGTCTTCTTTCTCCATATCTTCTGTTACTCAACAAGCTACAACAAAAAGTGACAAGAGTGTCTTTACCTTCATGACACTTATTACCTAGTTGGAGAGTTAATAAACACCCACAGAGCAACTATAAAATAATCCTAAGCATTTTGGAGAATGTTACCATGTGGCCAGATACCATCCCCCATATCTCATCAAACCAATATACTTTCATCTGGTAACAAACAAAAACAAATCTCTCAAATATGACCACCATGAAACACATCAAATGTCTAACGATATGACATGTATGAAAGTGAGTATCAATTAGTATGTTTCCTTTTTCAATTTTCCATAAATATTTATTGAAAACTTATTATGTACAAGGCATTGTAGTTAGTTCTGGGGAAAATATAAAGAAGAATAAAGTACTGTTTTTTCCCTAGGAGTTTATAGTGTGGTAGAGGACTGAGGCAAATTATCACTACTGAAAGCTGGGAACACATCAATACTATAGTTACTGAGCCCTGGGAATTGCTTAAATACATTTATATCTAGTGTTCAGTTTCTGAAAGGCTAATGGGTAATTTTAATTCAAGTCTAGATATACCTCGAATGCACTGAGAAGAAATATTACATATTAAGAATTCAAGATACAGGGGCACTTGGGTGGCTCAGTCAGTTGAGTGTCTAACTCTTGATTTTGGCTCAGGTCATGATCTCGAGGTTGTGAGATTGAGCTCCACATTAGGCTCCTTGTTCAGCAGGGCCTCTGCTTGAGATTCTCTCCCTCTCTCTCTGCCCCTCCTCCCACCCATGCACATGGCTGTGCGCGCGCACACTCTCTCTCTAAAATAAATAAATAAGTAAATCTTTTAAAAAAAGAATTCAAAGTACATATAATTTACAAATCTACTGATAGCTGATGTTTATTATTGACAGTTTTATCTATTTAGACAATCTTTATGACCTTCAGAAATTAACTATTACATTATATATATTATTCACTCATCCTATTTCTCTCTGAATCATTCTAAATAAGTCTCAAGGTCTAACACCAGCTGTAAGTAAAGGCTTTATAAATTATTTTTAATGATGATCCACAATCAATACGTGATTCTACTGTGTTCTTGTCACAAATTAAATGCTTAATAAAACAAACTTACCCTTTCTTGGTATCGTCTTTCAAAGAAAGCCATATCATCCTCTTCAGGTCTCTTTAAGGAAGAAACTTGACTACTTGTACCTACTAATAAGGAAAAAATAACTCTAAGTAATATATTTATGGAATTATAAATTCTGCTGGGCTTTTAAAAAAAGAAAAAAGGCAGAAAGAAAACTTTCCTCTTACCAGTGATTTTTTTTTTTATTTTTCAAACCAGAATGGTCTAAATGGTAGTAGATCCTACTACCTAATTCCTTTGTTTTTAGGGGGCAGAGGGGCAAATGGACAAGGAGAGAGACAATCTCAAGCAGACTCTCCATTGAGCCCAGAGCCTGACACAGGCCTTGATCCCAAGACCCTGGGATCATGACCTGAGCCAAAATCAAGAGTCCGACACTGAATCAACTGAGCCACCCAGGTGTCCTACCTAATTCTTTAGGAAGCAGAGCATTGCAAGACAAAGTAATTTCCATTGGCAAACATTCTCCTAATGAGCAACTAGTTCATACTAAATAACAATATACAGCTATCTCACACAAGAGCACACTTAGCTTTGTTCAACTTACATTTTAAATTTTATAGCAAAACTAGAAATTCACATAACACCATAACAGATAATGCACAAAAGTAATTACAGAAGATTTAAGCCAAGGTCTGAATGTTTGTGTTTGTTGAAATCCTCAGCATAGCATATGTTGAAATCCCAATGCCCCATGTGATGGTGTTAGGAGGTGGGGTCTTTGGGAGGTGCTCAGGAGGGTGAAGTCCTCATGAATGGGATTAGTGCTCTTACAGAAGAGACCACACAGAAATCCCTCAACTGTTCCACTATATGAGGACATAATGAGAAGGGCCAACCGTGGATCAGGAAGAGGGCCTTCACCAGAACACAACCATGCTGGCGCCCTGATCTTGGACTTCCAGTCTCCAGAGCTGTGAGAAATTAAATTTCAGTTGTGCATAAGCTACTCAGTCTATGGTATGTTGGTATAGCACCTGACTGGACTGTGGCAGTCTGTATAAGCAACCAAGATACTACCTACTTTGAAATTTTTCAAAACTAAAATAATTTTAGCCATTTTCCATGGTGTTCACTTTTAAAAACTAAACAAGCACTAGTGTGAGTTGTGAAAGGAATTTAAAATTGCTTTGGGAAAGAAAACCATGTTTTCTTTGTAGGTGCACTAAGAGCCCAGCTCCATGGAAAAGTTCACCTCCCTTTTCAGGTGAATGTGTTGGTAGGGTCCCCTCATTTCCAAAACAGAGTATCAACCTGAACACACATGGTAGTTTTTAAAGCATATAAATTTACCCTCAACCAGCAGCACAAAATCACATAACTCCAATCACCACAGTGTATAACCACACTCTGTCAATCATCTAACAAAAGACTTGAGAAAAAGAAGGAAAAAGTGCTAAGAATATGTGCTATCTATCCATTCATCTCAAAACTCTGGGTCTTTCCCTGAATCATGTTGGACCACTTGAGCTAAGCTGCTTGTAGAATCACTCTCAGTGAGTTGCAGTTTAATGGTATATTGCCATTTACCTGGTAAAATGGTATTTTACCACTTTCATCAAAGTGTCTATCAGAAATGAGCAACCACATGCTGCATTTGCTGAAAGAGAGTTTTTTTTTAAGAAGACAAGTCACTTCATTTATTCAAGTTAATTAATTTCATTCAATAATCTGCCATATTGTTACTGTAACTGTTAATATTATTGCATTACTATTTCTCTTTTGAGGGAACCATGCTTTTAAAAAATCTGGGTTGGATTTCCATGATGTCTAACTAAAAATCTCTAAAATCTTTTTCCTTACCAAAAGGTAATCCCTTCATCACAAGACAAACAGGAAAACCAAGATTTAGTTGTAGAAAGTGATCTCCATTAGAAACAATTCATAGTCCATAATCTTTCAGGATTGTACTCTTATTTGGGGCCTCTTTTGTAGGGGAGGGGGCTGTCTCTCATAAATGGTTTCTTAAAAGTGAAAACGTGCCCTACTGCATCATAGAAGGAAAACAAGGTCTAGTTCCCAGACAACAGGCAGGTGGTCCTCCAGGAAAGGAACCCTAAGGGCTCCTAGGTGACATTCTGCCAAGGTCAGGGGACAGAGTCAGTGACCCTCCTACCCTCACCAGTCAGCAGTAAAAAGGTCTAACCAGCTGAGTGGGAGAGGTAGTAACTAGCTTCCAGTTAGAACTTCTAGCTCAGGAATGTCTATGTTTGAGTAAGCCTGAGCTGGAGGGAGATGTTACAGAGTCTGGAAAAAATGACTAAAAATAGGCAAGTGTGGAAAAGATACAGGTTTCTTCTTTCCGTCCATGGTTCAGAAAACACTGATGGAATACCTGTGTGCAAGGCAAAGGGACAGGTGCTGGAAAACAATCAAGCTAAGATGTGATTCTGACCGGAAGGAGCCATCTAGCAGGGGCCATCAGACCCCTGCACACCACAGAGTGCTGTCCTCAGGGCCGTGTGGAGGGAAGGACGGCTTCTGGCCGGCCGCATCAGGGACGGCACTCCTCCATCCTCTCCTCTTGGTACTCAGCGCGTCCTCTGTGCCTCTAGGTTACTGCTCGGCCTGGCCCATTCCAGGCACTTGCTTATCTTCCTTATCTTTCTTGGTGGTGTGAGAAAGGGAAGTTTGAGAGGAAAAGATCCTGCCTCACAGGTGCCTGGTGTGTGTGGAAGTGATGTATGGTGGAAGTGTTACTCTCTTGGTTCAGAAAGGTGGGGAAAATTGGGGGAAAGAAGAGCTAAGATGGGGTGGTAAGGGTATGGTGTCTTAGTCAGAAGGTGCGAACAAAGTTATACCAACAAGCAGTTTAAGTACACAGCTTCAACCAGACGATAGAAAGAGCACCAACACTGCCAAGGACCTCAAAAAGGTAGCTGGAAGCCCTCGGCCAAATAGGTGAGTCTGCAGAACTGGGAAGCTTAAATCCTTTCCTGTTTTCTGGTCAAGCTCAACCAGAGCATATGAAAGAATATCGAATAACTAGAGGGTCTTCAATTTCCGGAAAGTAGAAAGATCAAGTAAACTCAGCATTCCCCAGCATTCCCCTCCCCGAACCCCAAAACAGTGAAGTTGAATGTCAAAAGTGCAGAGAAAGTTTTTGGATATCTTCTTTGAGTGTGTTTTTTGGCATTTGGGTCCATAAGCAATCAAGATGGAGAGAGATGCTATTCCAAAGAGGAAAGTTTGTAGGAACCAGAGTAGTTGAGCCATCCAGCCATGATGCCTTTAGACTTACACAAAACCATGGCTAACAAGGACTCTCCCACATGAATCAGCCAAGCAAGCCAGTGGCCACATGTAAGAGAGTATGATGATGGTCCACGAAGTCCTGAGTGAAGAAGCCAAGAGGCCCAAGGCTCTGACAAGGGATACTCTGAGGCCACAAAACAACCCACACAAAATAGCCCAGTGCCAGGACAGTGACCAGACAGAGCAAACATCTGGCCGGACGGAAGTAAGAGGAAGAAGCCCTGCCAGCCTAGGGACTTCATCACCACCATCTTGAAAGACCTACAGGCTGAGCCTTGGAATGGGGAACCATCTCCATCCTGCCCCCATACCGAGAAGGCCTGGGTAACTGGTTTCTCAGGACCACAGGCAGACTTGTGTACCTGTGTCTTCTGAAAAACAGTTCTGAAGGACCGTGGGTCACCACATCATTGAGTGTCACACTATAGAGACATCTTTAAAATCCAGCACTAGTATAACTTTCATGAGCACTGAGGAATCCATAATAATAGATGAGTATCTTTCTAATAATGAAAAGTATTTAACTGATCACACCTTCCTCTGTGCCTTCACTACCATTACACTTGTCAAAACCGAAGCTTAGGGGTGCCTGGGTGGCTCAGTGGGTTAAAGCCTCTGCCTTCGGCTCAGGTCATGATCTCAGGGTCCTGGGATCCAGCCCCGCATCGGGCTCTCTGCTGAGCAGGGAGCCTGTTTCCTCCTCTCTCTCTCTCTGCCTGCCTCTCTGCCTGCTTGTGATCTCTCTCTGTGTGTCAAATAAATAAAATCTTTAAAAAAAAAAAAAAAAAACCGAAGCTTAATCACATCAGCAACAATTACATCAACCTTGAAAGCTGACACAACTGTGTCCTTTTTCTTGGTTTTGGTTTCTTCTGTCTATATCTTCACATAACTTTGTTGGGCGTTGTTTGTGTAAGCAGCCCAAAAATCCCTTGCGGAGAAAGTCAGGGTACATGAAAAGGCTGCATGATAATACAAATAAAAAGAAAATTCTCATTTAAAAATATTTGTAAATATTAAATACCTACTGCATCATAAAAATTCCTCTTCAATGTTTTTTTCTTGTCTTAATAAAGGAAATAGAATACTAGTGCTTAAAAATAAATAAAATTAATATATATGTATAATGTACATGTATAATTTATATGTATAATTTATGAAGGACAAACCTTTCTAACCTATACTTATCACTGGATTAGATCCTGCTTGGGAGAGCCACTAAAGGAGTCTCTTATTCAGATATCAAAGCAATAACATGTAAGGTTTTAAAAGTTCAAATTATTGTATTATTAGAATCTTCATAATTCTTAGATTTAGCAATTTTCAAAAAAAAAAGAAGTTCCTTGCTTCTCAGTATGAGGCCAATTTAAAAATAAAATGATAACCAAATTGTGATAATACTGAAGAAAAAAGATCTAGAGAATGAATCAATCTACATTCTTTTTTACTACCCCCAAAAATATTTGTCAGTTTAATTTCATTACCATCTGTCAGTGGAGAAGAACTAGATGATGTTTGAAATGCTTTTAGAAATGGGTGGTCCATGGCTGTAGCTGGAGAATCTAATAATTCAATCGAAGGTGCACCTAAGAACAAAATATATGAAGAATGAAAATTAAATCTCCATTTTTCAGGATACAAAAGTTATTTCAATGCAAAATAAATTAGAACCTCAGCTGATTAATTAGAAAAAAATTTTTCTATAAAAAAATTTTTATTTAGATTTTTATCTGCCATATAAAGTACAGGGAATTAGCTAGAAGTATGTTTGTACTTCTCAGAGATCTTTTTCACAGAAAAAAGAAGTTATGCATGAATGTAACTATGACAAAGTGATACAAAACCTTAATACAGTCACAAAAATATTATCAAAAGCAAGACGTTCATGAACAAAGAACCTATAGTTGAAGAGGACAGAATAAGTGCCTTTTTACTATGTTCCTCACTGGGAAACCATCTCAAAACAAAGTATGAACAATAAAGAAAAATTCAGTGAAATGAGGCAACATCCACAACCCCACACCACAGAATTACAAAGACCAACTGCTAAATACATTGACTTTTGGACCAAAAGGAAGGAAGCTGTAGAGAAAATTTTTAAGTGCTCTATATTCTTCACAAACCACCACCTCTTCTATATCCCTCTTCCCACACAGTGGATAGAGGGAAGGAAATAAACTCTTAATCCTATTTGGTTTTTTAAATGAATCCTTTCTTATAAGCTGAACAGTGTGGGACAATTGCTCGTTCTTTCAGTTTTCCGCCTGCTCCTTCCCCAGCTCCTCTCTCTTGGGGTTGGAGAAATATAAGAGAAGGAGCTCAGGTCCACTGAGGCCCCTGTGCTGTCCTATGCTTACTGCATGCACTACTGATCTCAAATGCTCAAGGCTGGTAAGTGGTGATTTAGTCTAGCAGCTTGGTGGGAACTCACACTTGCTCTCACTAGAAGTATAAACCCCTGGATGCCTGCCACTTCCTCTACTGAATCCCCCAGAGCTCAGAGCACCCACCCTCTAGCTCTGCTTGGGATCCCCTTGCTATGACAAATGTCTCAACTGCCTTTCGGCTCAGCTGCCTTCCAACCACCCACTAGGAGCTGGGCATTATGGACTCCTTCTGCATCACAAAGGAAACAAATCAGCAAGTTGTCATCTCTGTCCAGGACTCTACATGGCTAACAGAGCAGATGTCCCTCCGCCCCAGGCTCCCCTACATCTGAAATCAAGGCAAAGACATCTTGTTTCCTCTCCTCACTCTCACCTTTCCTCACCACACCTTTCCTCAAGGGCCAAAAGCAGGAGATTTTCTCTCTTTATAAGATGCCTAAGTGATAAAATACTAGAAGGCATAAGAAGGCAAGAACCAGCTATTCCCACTATTACTTAGCACAGTTCTGCAAGTACGAGACATTGTAATTAGTTAAGAGTAAGAGCCATAAAATATTGGAAAAGGCAAAAATACCACAATGTACAACACTGACCAAACATTTAAACTCTAACATTAAGTAATAAAGGACTGGTAACAAAAGCAACATAAAATATTTGCTTTTCAATAAACAAATAATAATCAGCTAGAAAATATAAAGGAAGGAAAAAACCCTACATATGATAGCTATAAAAAAATTAAACACCCGGGACGCCTGGGTGGCTCAGTTGGTTAAGCAGCTGCCTTCGGCTCAGGTCATGATCCCAGCGTCCTGGGACTGAGCCCCACATCGGGCTCCTTGCTCTGCAGGGAGCCTGCTTCTCCCTCTGCCTCTGCCTGCCATTCTGTCTGCCTGTGCTCGCTCTCCCTCTCTCTCTCTGATAAATAAATAAAATCTTTTAAAAAAAAAAATTAAACACCCACAAATAAAATTAAGAAAATTAAGAAACAGATTGAGGACTTTCATGAAGATAACTTCAGAATTCCACTCAGCTACACAGAAAACAAATGCAGAGACTCAACATTTTAAAACATTAATTCTTGGGACACCTGGGTGGCTCGGTCAGTTAAGCAGCTGCCTTGTGCTTGGGTCATGATCCCAGGCTCCTGGGACTGAGCCCCACATCAGGCTCCCTGCTCGGCGGAGAGCCTGCTTCTTCCTCTCCCTCTGCCTGCCACTCTGCCTACTTGTGTGCTCTCTGTCAAATATGTAAAATCTTATATTAAAAAAATAAAATGAAAAATAAAATATTAATTTTTCCTACATTTATCTATATATTCAACATGATTATGAACTAAATAATAGAATGTTTTTGTAAAAATAAAATGTTTTGTAATAATAGAATGTTGTCGAAAAATAATGCCAAAGTTCTGAAAAAAATTAGAGAGTAAGTCAGGAAAATTCTGAAGTAATGAAATGAAGTCATAAATATTAATTTATTATAAAGTTGTAGCACTGAAAATGGCATGGTAGTTCCCTAGAAATAGACAACAAGCAAGCAGAAGCAATTAGCCTTGAACAATTTCTGGTTTGAACCCAGCCCTACCACTTATTAGCAGAATAACAAAGAAAAAGATGTTGTACTTCTCTGTGCTGAGTTTCTTTATCTGTAAAATAAGAGTAATAATAGCACTTAACTCAGTTATTGTGAGGATTAAATGCATTAATAGATATAAAGAGGCTGGAAAGACTCGTGGAAGTACAAAGCTGCAATCATCATCAACATTTTGCCATTGGGAACTGGGTTTTCTGTAACTGTTCCATGAGCTTAATACAATCATGCACCTATGAAAATTGAAAAATGATTTATGGAATCTAACAAGCTAATTGTAAAATTACCTAGAAGAGAAAATACAGATATACCAAAGGAATCCTGAGAGAAAAAGAAAATACAAACAGGAAGCATTTACCAAACCAAATATCAAAACATACTACGAAGAATAATAATTAAAAATAAGTAATATTGACCCAAAATAGACAAATAGGCCAATGCCACAAAATAGTACGACAAAATATGAGAAAGGTAAAGTTTAAATTATTTGGGAAAGAATGGTGTTTGGATAACTTGCCATCAATTTGGACAAAAACTGAAGTTATACATACCTCACATTTTCACAAAAAAATGTATTCCAAATACATGAAAAAGCTAAACATAGAAACAAAAAAAGAATTAAGTATTAAAGTACACGAAGGTAAACATAATCATATAATTGCCTCCAAAATTTAAAAGCTGGATAAAAAAAAAAAAGACAAAAGCTTGGAAGAAGATATCTGCAAAATAAATGACAAAAGACGAGTACACAGATTATATAGATTACTACGGAAGTATTAGTACAAAAGACTATATAGATTAGCTCAAAAGATTAGTACATAGATTATATAAAACTGTATATAAACGAGAGAAGATAAAAATACAAAAATGAGCAAAGTATATAACAGACAAGTCACAGAAAGCTAAACAGCCAATAAATATGAGAAGACTCTTCTCACTGGTTATTAAACCAGGGAAATCAGACTGAAACAAGAACATTTTCACAGGTCAGACTGACAAAACACTGGGTCTGCAATATCAGTGACCAGCATAAATGTGAGAAATAGGGAAGCTAAACAATCTAGAGGAAGTATAAACAAGTACAGCATTTTTGGAAGGCAATTTGACAGAATGTCTTAATGAAATTTCACACACTTCAACCCAACAAATCTGCTTCTCTGTATCTACCTTAGAGTCAGATTTATGTAGCACACAAGCAAGAAAGTTCAAGGATGTTTTTGGCAGGACTAGTTGTAAAGAAAAAAAAGTGGAAACAATCTAAATGCCATGAACAAGGTTTAGAAAAATTGACAAAATAGCTTAGAAAACCTGATAAATTGACAGCGTGGAATATTATGTGGGGGGGTTCAAAGAATTGACTAGATTTGCGTGTTCTGACATGACAGGCCTTCAGATTTTTTCCGAGTTAAAAACGATAAAAATATATGCTAAAAAGAAAAATAAATTGTCAATCAAATATAATTATCGATTATCAGTGACAGCAAATTACCCTCTGGGAAAGGATCTGGGGTAGAGAGGTGTTCAAGGGGGCCTTACAATACTTCATTTCTCTTGTTTGAATCTTTTACAAGAAAATATTCATTCGCGTTTATGTAATTTTTATACTGAAAAAAACTGAATACAAGAAAAAAAATCCATACACACAGAAGTATTTAAAGTAGATAGGAAACATATTCTTCTCCCAATCCTATTCAACTTCAGAAAAATTAAAAAAAAAAAAGAAGAAGAAGAATCCAGCTACCTTCAATAGTTCAAGATATATCCAACTGAACTTTTCCCTATATTACTTAAAACTTTCATGTATGCAAGCAGTGTGTGCATACATTATTATAAATGTGATAACATGTATACATATACATCAGCATATGCACACACAGACATAAGCCTGTTTCCAAACTGAGACAGCTATAATGGCAAAAAAAATTGCATACAATAGGGCAACACGTAAAGTATATCATATCAAATAAAAAGAAATACTCAGCTATTACAAACAACAGGATTGTGGGTTGGGATTTAGATACAAGTATTGGAGTAGGAGTGATCTTTTTTCTTGTGTTTTCTATAATGACCATATAGTGTATAGTAGCAATAAAACCTTTATTAAAAAATAAAAATCAAACAAGAGAATGGTTTCTGGAAAAAACTAAAGAACATAAAGTGTGGAACAAATATAGGGCTTCACTCTCATCAGCACACATAAAAACAATATGACAAGCTCACATTTCATTGATTGACACTTACCAATCCCACTGTCATCTAATCGCAAATAGCCTTCTGCCAGTGAGCTGAAGCCTGTTAAGCCTCCCATCGCTGCATAAGGGACATCCTGTCCCACTGGCTTTTCCTGAGCCAGTCTTTCTTGCTTAGTTTCCACGACTGTGTCATGAGCATATGCAGGCTGACCACAAGCACAAGTGAAGCAACTATGGAATCCCGAACACTTGGAACCTGAATCGAGATGTGAAGGGAGTCAAAGGTCTTTAAATATAGGTACTAAGTTGTCTGCCCTAAAAATGCTCAGCTTGGCCACAATCACCTGAATCTGAATCCCTCATATGCTATCCTCAGGCCTCTAAAACTCTAGCCTCCAGCCCCTGAACTCTCTTCCAGCCACTGTTCTGTAAGATGCTGAAATGAGTAAGGTAAGGTAAGGTATATAGCAGGGAAAAAAGTACTGGAAAAACCAACTAGGACTAAAAGAAATTGGGCTAACACTGTAAAGCCAGGAAATGTAGGCCCTCTCCTCAAATATGGAGTTAAAAGCAGGTGTGGATAGCCCAGTGACAGGACCAGATGAAGAGAGAACGTGGAGGCCTCCCTGTGGATGAATGCCCCATAAAAGCTTTATAGGAAAGCCAACCTACAACATAGAAAGGACACAATGGAATAGTTTAACAATAGAGAGCAAAGAAGTACTGATACGTGCCACACCATTATGACTCATACAAACATTATGCTAAGTGAAAGAAGCCAGTTACAAAAGGCTACATATTCTATGCTTCCATTCATATGAAATGTCTAGAATAGGCAAATCCATAGAGTCAGGAAGTAATTCTTGGTTGCCTAGGGCTGGGGGAGAGGAAGGAATAAGGAACGACTACTAATAGATACGGAGTTTCTTTTGGGGGAAATGAGAATGTTCTAAAATTGACTGTGGTGATGGTTGCACAATTCTATGAGTACATTAAAGACCACTGGACTGTACCCTTGAAATGGATGAGTTATATGGTATGTGAATTATATCTTAATGAAAGTGTTATATAGGGACGCCTGGGTGGCTCAGTCAGTTAAGCTGCTGCCTTCGGCTCAGGTCATGATCACAGGGTCCTGGGATGGAGTCCCGCATCGGGCTCCTTGCTTGGCAGAGAGCCTGCTTCTCTCTCTGCCTCTGCCTGCCACCCTGCCTGCTTCTGCGAGCTCAATCTCTCCCTCTCTCTCTCTCTCTCTCTCTGACAAATAAATAAATAAACAAAATCTTAACAACAAAAAAAAAAAGTGTTATATATATTTAAAAAAAAAAAATACATACAGAAGTGGAGGCCGGAATACACCATTAACAAAATTTTACGCACTCACACTTCTAAAAAATGTGTATGGAAACCAAAGCGCATAATAAATTTTATCCAACTACTTCCATACTTAGCCAGTGAAAATACATTTGATCCTGCCCCATCATTAAAAGTCTTTTATAACATATTTCAATTCCAACTACTATGAAAATTAGAATAACTATCTACTGAAGAAAATACTGAAATAATGTCCTACCTATGCCAAGGGGGTATTAAAAGGACGATCAAGTGAAAGGGCTGGGATTTGGGTACAAGTATTGAGGTAAGGATGCTATCACATATAAAGTGTTAAAATTGTTGTTACCTTTTGCTTTTCTCATCAGCCTATATTTTAGGCAATAACATAATAATCTGCCAGCAAATTACAAATTTTTTTTTCGACTTATCAGATCCTTTCTAAAAACCTCTCAACAGAATTTAGGTGATAAAATTCCCATTCAAAAATTTAAATCTGGGGCACCTGGTTAGCTCAGTCAGGAGAGCACAAAACTCTAAATCTCAAGATTGTGAGTTCAAGCCCCCTCTTGGGTGTTGAGCCTATTTAAAAATAAATTAACTAAAATTTAAATCAGATCACATCTAAGTATTTTTAAAATCTATTACTATCGGGACGCCTGGGTGGCTCAGTTGGTTAAGCGGCTGCCTTCGGCTCAGGTCATGATCCCGGCATCCTCGGATCGAATCCCACATCGGGCTCCTTGCTCGGCAGGGAGCCTGCTTCTCCCTCTGCCTCTGCCTACCACTGTCTACCTGTGCTTGCTTTCTCCCTCTCTCTCTCTCTGACAAAAAAAAAAAAAAAAAAAAACTATTACTATCGTTTAACCTATTTGGATTCCATGAGATTAGGGCTTATGATTGCAAAACAACTCAGTTTTTCCACAAAAATAACATTTTAGAGTAGTTGTCCATCAAACTTTTCTGAGTTGTTTAATATTGACTAGGCACTAAACAAAACTGGCACAAAGACACATTAAATATTTAATAAAGAAAGACAAACATTCTGTTGGTGTGTTTCTAACAATGTAACTCACAGGCATTGCATAGAAAGCCGGACGCAGCGCTGTGTTGATCCGCAAAGTGCTTGCACCTGCAGCGAATGGGCTGCGCGCCGTTCAGAGGGACGTAAAGGTACGCCCTGCACGCGCAGCCCCTCACTCGGCAAGGGAGACTGATGGGGCGTTGCTGTGGAATCGTTTCAAAGTCAGTTTTATGTTGCTTATACCTACAAAAAAAAAAAAAAAAAATCAAATGAAAGGAAAGAAAAACAATTCAGGGATTGCTGGAAATTACAATCTCTGTCCTGTTAAATACAAAATTATTCAAAATTTTTTATTTTTATTTGCTGTTCTTGTTAGTAAGGCAAAAATAAACTCCCTTACAGTATTTCTGTCAGCTCCATCACAAATTGCTTTGGTCGGAAAAAACCTTCACTCCTTTAGATTTTTATCTTTAGTTATTTAAGAAAAATTTTCACAGCAATATACAAAGAAATATGATTCCCTTAAGGTACCACTAAAGATTCTTAATATGGAACCACAACCTACGAGTGTGGAAGAACTTCTTTATAAAAATTCTTTCTATTGAAGTACATTATTTAAATTTATTTTCATAGGTTTGCTATAAAACTGAAATGAGTTCAATAAACATATATGAATGTGATTTATTTTAATATAATTCCATTTTTATGGAATTTTCCATTTTCCATTTAATATAATTCCATTTTTAACTTTTAACTTCAAAATAAATTGTCAACATTTTTTAAAAGCCAAAGCTCTTTGTTAAAACACTATAATTTTCTTTAACAAGCCATTCACTTCCTGCTCTTCAGGTGATACTCAATAAAATAATATTGAATTTATTATTCTTAATATTATTCCAGGTAGTACAAGTTAAAATAGCAATGAGATGCCATTTTTCATTTAGCAAAGAGAACTAATTTTTTTTTAATTAAACATAATTCACAATGCTATCAAGAGTGTTATAGAAGAAACTTTCTCATTTAATGTTTCAAGAAACTTAAAAAGATCCATCCATACTTCCCATGGCTTATATAATTTCATATACAGCATTTTCTAATGTATGTAATTATCAAATCACTGTTACACACCTGAAACTAACATTGCATATCAATTCTATGTCAATAAAAATAAAATCAGTAAATGGTAAAAAAAAAAAATCCTTTAACCCAGAGTTCATTTTTCAAAAATACACCTCAAGAAAATATTTCTGAATATAGAAAGAGTTGTGTGCATAAAGATATCAGCAATAGTACTTACAATAGCAATACAAATACACACACATACACAACATATTAATAAGGGAATGAATAAGTAAATCAATAGACAACAGTTTTTTAAATTTTTAGCAGTGAAACCCTTCCTGCAAATAAAATCGCTTACAGAACCATAATATATAAAACAGATAAAAGCAGAATTGGTTAAAGCAAGGGAAAGAGGCAAAATTAGAGTCTGTCCTTCCTCTAACCTGCCCTTCCATGTGGTACTGCTGAAACTCCCTCATAGCTCTAAGGAACACACAATGAACACCACTGGACTAGCTAGAATATTGAGCAGATATTAAAAATCTTATTTGCTCGGGTCATAATCCCAGGGTCCTGGGATAGAGCCCCACATCGGGCTCTCTGCTCAGCGGGGAGCCTACTTCCCCCCTCTCTCTCTGCCTGCCTTTCTGCCTGCTTGTCATCTCTGCCTGTCAAATAAATAAATAAAATCTTTAAAAAAAAAAAAAAAAGAATCTTATTCGTGGGGGCATGTGGGTGGCTCAGTTGGTTGATCATCTGCCTTTGGCTCAGGTCATGATCCCAGAGTTCTAGGTTGGAGCCCTGGTCAGACTCCCTGCCCAGCAGGGAGCCTGCTTCTCCCACTCCTCCCAGCTTGTACTCTCTCTCACTATCTCTCTCTCTCTCTCTCTCTCTCAAATAAATAAAATCTTTTTTAAAAAAAATCTTATTTGTGATTACTACTTAACAATGTGGAAACATTTCTGTGACTGTCATTAAAAACTTGTTCAATATTTATATGCACACATCATTTACAACGAAATGAACTATGTAAAGAAAAAAACATGAATAGTAAAATGTATTGATAGCATCTGGCTTTGGATGGTGAGTTTTCTATTTTGCTATATGTTCTTCATTTACCTTAATAATAATTATAATGTTTATAACAGGGAAAATATAACGGTTTAGACAGATCTCACTGAGTGACTAGTACTAAAGACCTTTTCCATGGAAGCTGGAGCGGGTTCATTTTGAAAGTTAATTCCATGGTTCATAATTATACATATATGAGACTGACACTAAATTTGTACAAGAATAAATGATAAAACCAACACAAATTAACCAAACTACTCTTCAATTCTGAAAGATACCAACATAACCCTCATTCTCCATTCCTCCACAGTGTTTTCAGTTGGGGTTGCTAAATAAATTTCAAGTTAGTCTATATACAACATTACTCCTCCTAGCAACGGCTTAACAACCTTTGGCAGATGGCAAGTCTCTATGTAAACAGCGACTATACAGAGTCTCTCCTGAGAAAGCCCCAGAAATTATGAGAACAGGGCGGTTCTCCTTGCATGCTCTGTTTGGAACAGAAAGTTAAAAAGTTGTTACCTGAAAATACATAATAGGTTCAATGATTTTTCCAAGAAGCAGCTTTGTCCTTTTGAGCTTTATAGCTGTGACCTGTGACAGCAGTAAAATGTAAAGAACACAACAAACACAGACAAATGCAAACCTCTAGTATAGGCAATAAAAATCAGTGGCTAGAGCCTCCTTCCTTTTCTTTCCTCCATATGCCTTACTCGGAAAAGGACCATTTGTAATAAAAAGCTGTGTGCTTGTATTTTTGTTTGCTTAAAGAAAGGTATCAACACAACACGTTTCTTAAAGCACAAAGGGAGATTAGTAAATTGAAGGAGAAATGCTTCTATTTGTAGGTTGGTAATCTGTTCAGTGTGGGTCCACTCAAGCAACTCTTAAAGCAATTTTGCATTCTGATGACCCATCCTTTACTAACTTATCCAGTCATGGGAGAAGTAGACCCTCGGCAAAGCTGCAGGGGCACCAATATTTTTTTACCAAATGCAAGAGAAGAGATGTTTAGGGTGATGGACTCCATAATGAGTTCTAATAGGATAGAAGAGAAATTTTTAATTATAGCAAAAAATAAATAAATAAATAAAACCACTTCAGATCATTTCTAGGGTAGTACATAAAAGCCTTCTTTTAAATATTTCTCAATTATCACATAGTAATGTTATTTATAGAAGGAAGATACGATCTGCTACAATTTTACATTTTCTAATCACCAGAAAACTTAGCAATATCTTACCTATGTGTACAAAAACACAATGTCTCTGGACCCACAAGCTTACAATCCATTCCAGTTGGTGACCGCCAGCTCACAAATAATCTGTTCTGTAAGCGCATAGGTAATACTCTTTTTTTGTATTCTTCATATTCTTCAGGAGTAAAAAGTTTCCCTCCATCGTCCTCACCGACAATTCTACAACAAAAACTTCTCTTAAGCCTTGAATATTTATTTTCCAGGTTAAAAATACTACACTTCAAAATTAAACTATACTTGTATAGTCAAAGGAAATGCTGCTTCAGATTTGATTTTTTTTTTACCTTGGGTTTATGTTAATAGCAAATTTACCAATAGGAATAAAGCTTTTGCTTCCCAAGTGAAAGAGGATTCCAAATTAAAAAAAAAAAAAAAAAAAGTCAGTGAACTCATGACATCTGACTTTACTGATCCGGGTTTACCACTGGACAATTACCGCAAATTCAATCTCAGTTTCTCCTTGGATTCTGAAGCAAACATGCTCATTCTTTTCATTAAAAGCTAGAATCTAAACTGCTAAAAATTCAAATATTTTCCTCCTTAAAAATAGTACTCCCCCTGAAAAACAATAGTACAAAAAACATCAGTGCAGAAGACAACATGGGTAATGTGAACCCAAATCCTGGCCAGGAGTTTAAACCCACAAATACCTTTGGATCTACACAAGCTCAAACCCACATATATATTGAGTGATCATCCTTTAATTCCAAAACTTTATCTTCAAAGTTTTATGGGAACAATTAAGCCACCACTATTTCTTCATTCCTTAAGAAATTAAAAGTTGGCATCCCTGGAGAAAAAGGAAGCACAAGTAAAAGAACTTGTTCAAAATTAAAGAAATTTCTCCTTGAAAATATCACCCCTTAAAAGCCATGAAAGATGTTGTTTCTAGAATGCTACTTAATTTTTTGTGCAATCCGTACTTTTTCCCATACTTTCAAGCTTTTAGCTGGGACAGATAAATAAAACCAATTCAGAAGCTATGAAACCATCACAACCTTCTTCCTTACTTAAATAATTTAGATACACAATAGTAAAAAAAAAAAAAAAAAAAAACCCACAACCAAAAGGAAAAAAGAAAAAAAACCCCAAAGGGCATTTTATTCTGAGAAAAGTTTTGTATCATTTCACATTATAATAGGTACCATGTAATATATCAATAGGTACTGGGAAAAAAAATCAACACAGGTCTTTAAAGATGGAGATCATTTGTGCTTGACTGCCAAACCAGCGCAGCTCAAACTTTACAGTAGTTACAGAATCCCCAGGGGATCTAGTTCAAATGCAGATTCAGATTAATTTAGGGTCTGGAGTGGGCCTGAGCATGTGCATTACTAACAAGCTGCAAAAATAATTTTCCACCAGGTCTTAACATTTTCTGGACCAGGCAAGAGACCATAGCAGAGACCCACAACCCACGTATCTAAACATCTAAATATCTACATTATCAGTCAACACAAAGCCCTGGAGACTTGGAGGCTAAAGAAGCCGGCCCAGCCCTCAGTGAGCGCTGGGTGGAAACTGTCCTGGGTACAGGACTCATGGCCTTACCGGGACCCACCTGACCAGGGGATGAGGCCTGACCCATCAAGCTCCCCACTCTTACTTGGCTCAGAATTACCAAACATCTCTAGCTGTTACCCAAAACTATACGACCGAGACAGTCAGAAGGAGTGAAGGTCAGTGAAGCAATCTGTTTGCGCTAACAACCCTGGGTGATTTGGGGCGACCACCTTTAAGCAGAGGAGCCCCTCTCGCTCAGGTTTTCCAGGCCGCTGGGATTTCCCAGGCGGAGCAGTGACTGCCTCACTTCCCGCATATACACACAAGTTCTCCCAGAGCCCCCACCCCGCACCACCACCCGCAACAATCGCCCCCACACCTCCTCCCGGACCCCGTCACCCCTGGCGCCCTCATCCCCACATCCCCCCACTATAACCTCTCCAGGAATTCCCATTCACCCAGTCTCCCAGCTGCCAAAAACCTTTCTTGGGAGACGGGGGGAAATTACACGTCTCCGCAGGTGCATAAGGCTTTGTCAGGGCCCAGGGCAGCGAGTGGCGTCCTCGAGCCAAAGCGGCAGCTCTGTTTCCATTTCCGTAAGAGGAGTTTCTCCGGAACCATCGAAAATACACCAGTCTTTCTCCTAAAACCAGCACCTCGGGGTTGAGAACGCGTCTGGAAGTTCACGACATACCCTATTACTAAACTAACATGCAAACGACGTCTGCTATTTCTTATAAGGCCCGAGTACTCAGTGTGAACTCTTCGATGGCCATTTAGAAAAAACAGTTGGACCTCTGCATATATCTAAGAGTTAATAATCCGCCTTGGAAGGAGTCGAAGCGGGAGACCTCTTAAACAGCCTCGGAAGAGACTTATTGGAACTACATGTCATTACAATATTTAACTACAAAAAGACGAAACTTAAATCCAGATAACGAAACCTCCCCCCAGCAGCCGGACAACAGATTCCGGGATTCCCGGAGCCCCAGGTGGCGGGCGCCGGGCGCCTGTCCGTGCCCCCCGCGCCCCTCCGGCGAGGCGGACGCGGCCTGCCTGGGTTCTCCTGGCCCCGCCGAGCCGCAGCCTCACCTCCGGTACTCCAGGTACTCGTCCACTGCCGCGGCGCTGCCGGAAGGCAAGGTCAGCGGCTCCATGGCTGCGGGAGGCGAGAGGAGCCAGCCCAGCGCGCTGACTAACCGATCTCGGAGGAGCGAAACCGGCCCCGCCCCCGCCGGCCGCGCCCCCTCCCGACCGCGCCCCCTCCCGACCGCCTCCCGATTGGCCGGCCCGGGGACGGCGGCGGAGGCGCAGAGCACGCGCTTCCACCTGGCGGCCTGCTCCGGGCGGGAGAAAGGTTCCGTCTCCTAGGGCAGCCGTGGTCGCTCGGGTTGCCGCTTACCGCAGGCACAGACCTGGTGGCTCTTGCCTTCCCCGGGCCTCGTAGGTCTCTTTGTAGGGTAACAAATGACAAGGGAGTGCAATGGTTTGCATATCATGGACGCACAGAACAGGGCTTATTTCTTTGTACGGAACTTTTCGCTGACTTTGTGGCCGGACGTCGCGGATTCCCCAGAAGTGCTTTCAAAATTGGCGTTTAAGAGACTGCGATGCAAAAATCAATAGTTCTGGGTGTCTGCGCCCACTTTGGGTGGCACTAAAGCACCATGTTCTTCCAAGGAAGTGAATAGCGGGTTTAAGAGGAAATAAGGAGGAACAATTTGGTGAAGAATTTTTACGCCTTTGAAAATATTTTCCACAAAATCCTTTTTAAAGATTTATTTATTTTAGAGAGAGAGTGGGGGGGGGGGCAGACGGAGAGAGAGAATCTCAAGCAGAGCCCACGCTGAAGCGTGGAGCCCCATCCCGCCGGATCTCAGGACCCTGAGATTAGGACTTGAGCCGGAACCAAGAGGCTTAACTGACTGTACCACTCCGACATCAAATCTTTTTAAAAACTGAAATACTAAATAATTAATTAATTAATTAATTAATTAAGACTGAATTACTATGGGATTGGCTTAGCAACCTGGAAAAGGAATAGGAAATCCCTCACATCAAGGAGTCCTTAAACTCTGACGCAACTTACAGATCATCTTGAGGGCTCTCTACAAATTATCTGTAAGGAATAATTGTAAACAGTAAAAAACAGTAAAAAAAAAAAAAAAGAAAAAAGAAAAATTTAATGAACTACAACACTTTATTTCAAAAGTACTTTCCTGAACACTGTCTTTCAGATCTCAAAGACAAGATATTATGTAGACAAATTGTTTACATGACCCACCCTTTTTTTCAGTGCTTTTCAGTGCTCTTTTTTTCCTTTCTAAAGTCCTCCTACTCAAGGAGTTCCCAATCCCACTTTGACATCCTCCCTACTTTTTGTTACTTTCCACCAGAACGTTATCTCATAACTCGGCTTAGCCAATAAACTTTGAAGCCTCCCAAACACATTAGCATTTTATAGAGACAGCTTTCCACAGTCAGATAAAGAAGTCATCCTAAAATGGGGTTATATTAGGGAAAGTAGCCCTTTTTAAAAGATTTTATTTATTTGACAGAGAGAGACACAGCGAGGGAGGGAACACAAACAGGGGTTGTGGGAGAGGGAGAGAAGCAGGCTTCCTGCCAAGCAAGGAGCCTGATATTGGGCTCCAGGAGGGCTCAGTCGGTTAGGCATCTGCCTTGGGCTCAGGTCATGATCCTGGAGTCCTGGGATTGAGTCCCACACTGGGCTCCCTGCTCAGCAGGGAGCCTACTTCTCCCTCTCCTATTCCCCTGCTGTCCTCTCTCACTCTCCATCAAATGAATAAAATCTTTTTTTTTTTGAGTTTCATGATTAAATCCTTTGGTTATGCTTTATCTGCTCCTTTGTACTCTATATTTCCTATGAACTCTCTAGAGCCTTGATCAAATTGAGGTCCAAATTTTTGGCAAGATTACCTCATAGGTAGTATTGATACTTTCTTCTAGAATATACATATAAGGTTTGCTTATTTCTTTTCATAATGCTAAGATTGATCACTGGGTTCAGTTGTTGGCAGCCTGATCTATCAGATGCCCCTTCCCCTTTCATCAAATCACTTCCTTCACTTTTTGTTTTATACATTTTGAATACTAGGCCTGTATTAGGCAGTATAAGTTTAGAATTGGAATTGTTATAACTGTTACATATTCTAGGTGGTTTGAACTACGTATCAATATGAAGTAAATCCATTTCTAGTGTTGTTTTTGGCTTAAAGTGTATTTTACTTGATATTAATAAAACTATACCAACTTCATGTTGATGGTGTATCCTTTCAATCCTCTTATTTTCAGCAGTAACAAGCAGCCAACACATATCAAAAACCTGAGATTTGTCTAAACATTTCTCCTCCTTGTTATTGTTACATATTCTTGGTCCCAAGACATAACTGATAATGATTTGACCAACCCTCCCACTGTTACCACCAGCCTAGGTCCTCACTGCCTGCTGTCCTAACTCCTCTACTCAGCCAAGTCCATATTTTAGAGTCTGTTACTTTAAGAACCCTTCTTAGGGAACTAAATTCTCTGGAGATAGGAATACATTTTACTAAAAATAACAGAAAACTCAACGTAAGTGGCTTAAATAAAATCTAGCTGGTTCAGCAGCTAAATGACGTCATGGCAGATATCTCTGCAGCGTCCTTGGCCTTCATTATCACAAAACGGCTTACACAGCATCAGCCCTCCTCCCAGACATTTCTAATTATCAGACTCCTGTCCGCAAAACTCAGCTCCAATTTCCCCAGCTCTGGAAAGGAGGGAACTCTGTTTCCAGCCTTTCAGTATTAGACCCTTTAAAACCATTGAAGTAGCGAATAGTATGAAAACTTTTCATGACTATTGAGATAATTTCAGATTTCTGGGTTTTATTGCTTATGATGGCAATATTTCTGGAATACTCACGAATATCCTCCCTTGTCTGCTATGCATACTCCTCACCTTTCAAATTCAGGACAAGCATTTCATCTTCTGTGAGGTCTTCTTTGCTTCCCCTATTTCCCAAAGACTGTCCTATCCCTGAACCTTCTATTACAGAACTTAGCACTTAAATGATATGACTTGTCTCTTCCCTCCAGATGACAGATAAAGTCCTTCAAAATCTCACAGGTAGCCCCAGTGTTCTTCATGAGAAAAAAAGAAGGTGAGCTTTATATTTATGGCCACAAAAGAAGTCTCAGACTGGTCCACCCATGAGTTACTGGATCTCACCGACCTCTGATCTTCTGAGCAAGCTCCCTGGAGCAGAGAGTCTTTACTAATTAAGAACTGGAAGGTCTCCTGGGTGGCTCAGTCTGTTGAGCATCCAACTCTTGGTCTCGGCTCAGGTCATGATCTCAAGGTTATGGGATCAAGCCCCGTGTCCTGCTCTGCGCTTGGCGTGGAGTCTGCTTGAAATTCTTTCTCTGTATGTCCCTCCCTCCCCCAAACTCATGGACATTCTTTTTCTCTCTCAAATAAATAAAATCTTTAAAAAAAAAAAAAAAAAAAAGAACTCCATGGGATACCTGAGTGGCTTAGTTGGTTAAGTGTCCAACTCTTGATCTCAACTCAGGTCTTGGTATCAGAGTTGTGAGTTCAAGCCCCACATTGGGCTCCACACCTTAAAAAAAAAAACAAAAAAACAAACAAAAAAACAAAAAAACTCCAAGGTGCCTGTAAGTTCACCTTTATTCTGGAAGGAGGCAAGTGGAAAACAGCCTCCAGACAAGCTTTAATCAATATGAAGAACAGATTGGAATGTTATTTGGGTTGTAGAGTACCTTCACTTTAAGCATTTTATGGCCTTCAATTTGGAGAACTTCACACTGACATAGTCCTGGATACCTGAACACTACAGTCTTTTCAACCTGACATGTCCTGAGTCTCTGACAACCTATGGCAGCATCACTTCCAAACCAAATGTGGAGAAACATGTCTTTGAGAGCTCCATGTAAATTTCCTGAGCCACTTCTACTCAGCTAAGTGTTCTAAGTTCTATAGTAAAGACTTTCCTCCCTCCAGTTCATCAGGGACATATCATTTCCTGTAATTCCTTGACTATAATGAAGTTAGGGGAAACCCCAGCCACATTCTACCCAGAGGAAGAGGTGAAACAGAGAGGAATGCCTCAAAGAGGTTTGGTTGTTTTAACAAAAAGATCCTGGCTTGGGGCACCTGGCTGGCTCACTCGGAAGAGCATGCAATTCATGATCTCAGGGCTATGAGTTCAAGCCCCACGTTGGGTGTAGAGATTACTTTTAAAAAAATCAAAAAGATCCTACTTAACATTTAGCACTTCTGGGATTCCTTCCAAGTTCTATTTCCATTCCACTCTGAACCCACTAGCTATATCTGGCTGGGCAGACAGAAACACAGGAGGAAGATAATGATTCTGGGAGACAGAAGAAATCCAATGAATAGAGAATTTTTCTTTGTTATGGTGTGGGGATATCTCACTGGCCTTTACCAGTACCTAGGGTAAATACCCCATGCCAGTTCCCACCAAATAACTTTCTGATTCAAAATTTAGCTTCTCAAGTATCTTAACAATGAAAAAGTAGGAGCTAGGAAACTTTTAGCATCATTAAATAGGAACAAAGTTTATTCTAAATGAACAAAGTAGCATTTCTGTGTAAATACCTAAGATAGGTAAATACCTAAGATAGGTATTTACACAGAAATAGGTATTTACTATTAGGTATTTACTACAATACTTACATAGAGCTTCCTATGTGCCAGGCTCTGTTCTCAGACCTTTATATGTATTAACTCCCTTTATCCTTATGACAACCATATGATGAATTAAGTTTTATTGTTTTTGTTCTCATTTTCTGAATGAAGATACCAAGGCATTAAAATGTTAGATAACTTTTCCAAGGTCCTATCTGTTGGTAAGAAGTGGCAGAGCTGAGATTTAAACCCAGGCAGTCTGGCAGAGTTTGTTCTCTTAGGTGTTCTGCTATTCACCATGGAATCTGCCCCTGAGAAATCTGCAGAGGGAAAGCCTGAGCCTAGGACGTGGAGCTCTCAGCGGTCTGCTGATCCTAACAAACACTGCCAACCCTCCCAGACCTTTGTAACAACTCAGATGATCCCTCATTGCCCAAGCCAGATCTTCGTTTAAATAAGGAAATACAGGGGCGCCTGGGTGGCT